GTCAACAAAAATCATAGCTATTTCGCTAGAGCTCCATTTTTTCTATCGAATGAGTACAAGAAACCACCTATTTACCGATTTCAACTATCCAATACAGTGGTCAGATTTTAGCAATTTTACCAATTTCACACAAATTTCAAAAGATACCAATTTCCAAATAGGGTCCAGAATAAACAAGAAAGACATTCCTGGCACTAAAATAACATTTCCTCTGTTCATTAGTCACATCCCCACGCCCCTCTTACATTCTTTTGCTTTCCACTTTGAATTTTTATTCTCACAAAAAATAGAAGATTTATGCAGACCACTCCATTAGTGTAGAAATGGTATAAATAATATCGGCGCACTTGTGAAAGAATATTAGACTCACCAGTTAATGTGTAATGGACGCTTAGCATGATTTGTTTACTTTTGAACTTTGGTAAAAATCGAAGATTTCTGCTACTTTGAGCTCAATTTCAAGGCACTTTTCATTGTAAAACCAATCAAAATCATCACAATTTCTATAATATGTCTTCCATTCTATAAAATGAGACCAAGAAAACTAGAATACAACAATATATACCATACAAAAATACAGTGCAAATTCACTGTTTTAATCCAAAAACACGGTCAAAGTTTTTTTTTTCTCATTATGCACTGTGTGCTGCAGGATTTTTTTTATACTGTGCACACTGACCACATAGACCCAGTCTTTCATTTGTAGGCCTAGCAGCTTTCTCTCACTAGATTTGAGGGCGCTAGAATTTAGGCGTACTAGTACGTTAAAAACCCTGGTGTATAAGCCGTACTAGTACAGCCAAAACCCTGAAAGGGTTAAGGACATTCGTCCAGAACGTGTCTGCGCAGCGTGAGCCACCCGGCCACTCCAGTGCGGCCAGTGTGCCATTGTTTACAAGCCAGTGCAGACGATTCCACGCGTACATGCAATACATTTTGTATTATTCCGTTGTTTTTATTGCTTGTAACTGCTAAATAAGCCACCATGGGCCCAAAGAAAGCTTCTAGTGCCAACCCTGTAGTAAAAGGGGTGAGAAATACTATTGAATTGAAGAAAGAGATAATTGCAAAACACGAAAGTGGAGTGCGTGCCTCCGAGCTGGCCAGGTTGTATAACAAATCCCAATCAACCATTGCTGCTATCTTTGCCAACAAAAAGGCAGTCAAGGAAGCTGTTGTTGTGAAATGTGCAAATGTGCTTACAAAACAGAGATTGCAAATACTCAAAGATGTGGAGAGACTGTTGTTAGTGTGGGTCAACGAGAAACAATTATCAGGAGAGAGTGTTTCACAGTCAATTATATGTGAAAAGGCAAGGTAGTTGCATGTGGATCTCATTAATAAAATGCCTCCAACTAGTGCTGATATTGGTGAATGTAAGGCCAGCAAAGGCTGGTTTGAGAGATTTAAGAATCATATTGGCATACACAGTGTAATAAGAACATAAGAAAGAAGGAACACTGCAATAGGCCTACTGACCCATGCAGAGCAGGTCCATGTCCCCCCCTGGATTAGACCAATGACCCCCTTCCCCGGATTAGCCCAGTGAACCACCCAGTCTGGTCATCATCTCCACTCAAGGATGGAGCACTGCACCAGACCCAGCAGCACAAGCTAGTCAGGTCCAACTCACACCCACCCACACCCACTACTTTTAAAACTACACAACATTTTAGCCTGAGGCTGCCAGTTCTGACAAAAAAGCTGTTGCAAACCATGCTGGTGACTTTTACAATGACAGTCCTGTGTCCCATTTGAGGGAAATCTTAAAGACATGCCAGAAACAGAGCTCTCTGGACAGATTTTTGGTGCGACAGTGGTCCAGTGACTCTCAAGCAGGTCCTAGTGGCATTAAAAAATGAAGAAGGGAGGTAAACCCGGAAAAGGACTTCCTACCTAAAGTCCTTATGGAAGGGGATTCCCCTTCCAAACAATAATACACCTCTATCCTCTCCCCTCCTCCCATCTCATCACTAAGTCTTCAGTAAAGGTAAGTGTCATTTTATGGAATATTAATGTATTTATTCTGCATGTCTCATTGTTTTCTGTGCAGGAAAATATATATTTCATGTGAATTTTTTTTTTTTAATACTTTTGGGTGTCTGGAACGGATTAATTGGATTTCCATTATTTCCTATGGGGAAAATTAATTCGGATAATGATAAAATCGGTTAACGACAAGCTCTCTCGAGCCAATTAATATCGTTAACTGAGGGTCCACTGTATTATTAATTATATTATTATTATTATTATTATTATTATTATTATTATTATTAACCCGTAAATGGTCCAAACGTATATATACGTTTTTTCAACATTTGAAAGTATGTAAAAAAGTAGGTCTTCTTTTTGTTTTTTTACATTTGAAAATGTGTAAAAAATTTTGATCTACTTTTTTTTTTTGTTATATTTGAAAATATGTAAAAAAAAATGTAGATCTACTTTTGTAGCACTACGCATGTGAATGTAGTTCTGCTTGGACCGTTTACAGGTTAATTTATATTACTATTATTATTTTTTTTAACAAGTCGGCCGTCTCGCACCGAGGCAGGGTGACCCAAAAAGAAAATACTTTCATCATCATTCAACACTTTCACCACACTCACACATAATCACTGTTTTTGCAGAGGTGCTCAGAATGCAACAGTTTAGAAGCATATACGTATAAAGATACACAACATATCCCTCCAAACTGCCAATATCCCAAACCCCTCATTTAAAGTGCAGGCATTGTACTTCCCATTTCCAGGACTCAAGTCCGGCTATGTAAAAATAACCGGTTTCCCTGAATCCCTTCACTAAATATTACCCTGCTCACACTCCAACAGCTCGTCAGGTCCCAAATACCATTCGTCTCCATTCACTCCTATCTAACACACTCATGCACGCTTGCTGGAAGTCCAAGCCCCTCGCCCACAAAACCTTTACCTGCTCCCTCCAACCTTTTCGAGGACAACCCCTACCCCGCCTTCCTTCCCCTGCAGATTTATACGCTCTCCATATCATTCTACTTTGATCCTTTCTCTCTAAATGACCAAACCACCTCAACAACCCCTCTTCAGCCCTCTGACTAACACCTTTATTAACTCCACACCTTCTAATTTCCACACTTCGAATTTTCTGCATAATATTTACACCACACATTGCCCTTAGACAGGACATCTCCAATGCCTCCAACCATCTCCTCGCTGCAGCATTTACAACCCAAGCTTCACACCCATATAAGAGTGTTGGTACCACTATACTTTCATACATTCCCTTCTTTGCCTCCATAGATAACGTTTTTTGTCTCCACATGTACTTCAATGCACCACTCGCTTTTTTTTCTTCATCAATTCTATGATTAACATCATCCTTCATAAATCCATCTGCTGAGACGTCAACTCCCAAATATCTGAAAACATTCACTTCTTCCATACTCCTCCTCTCCAATTTGATATTATTATTATTTTATTATAGTATTATTATTATTATTATTATTATTATTATTATTATTATTATTATTATTTTCTTTCTTTTAACAAAACTGGCCATATCCCACCAAGGCAGGGTGGCCCAAAAAGAAAAACGAAAGTTTCTCTTTTTAAATTTAGTAATTTATACAGGAGAAGGGGTTACTAGATCCTTGCTCCGGGCATTTTAGTCGCCTCTTACAACACGCATGGCTTACGGAGGAAGAATTCTGTTCCACTTCCCCATGGAGATAAGAGGAAATAAACAAGAACAAGAACCAGAAAGAAAATAGCAGAAAACTCAGAGGGGTGTGTGTGTATATATATGCTTGTACATGTATGTGTAGTGTGACATAAGTGTAAATAGAAGTAGCAAGAAGTACCTGAAATCTTGCATGTTTATGAGACATAAAAAAGGACAGCAGCAATCCTACCATCATGTAAAACAATTACAGGCTTTCATTTTACACTTACTTGGCAGGATGGTAGTACCTCCCTGGGCAGTTGCTGTCTACCAACCTACTCCCTAGGATTATTATTATATATTATTATTATTCCTAGGTAGTAGGTTGGTAAACAGCAACCGCCCAGGGAGGTACTACCGTCCTGCCAAGTGAGTGTACAACGAAAACCTGTAATTGTTTTACATGATGGTAGGATTGCTGGTGTCTTTTGTCTGTCTCATAAACATGCAAGATTTCAGGTATGTCTTGCTACTTCTACTTGCACTTAGGTCACACTACACATACATGTACAAGCATATATATACACACCCCTCTGGGTATTCTTCTATTTTCTTTTTAGTTCTTGTTTTTGTTTATTTCTTCTTATCTCCATGGGGAAGTGGAACAGAATTCTTCCTCCGTAAGCCATGAGTGTTGTAAGAGGCGACTAAAATGCTGGGAGCAAGGGGCTAGTAACCCCTTCTCCCTTATAAATTACTAAATTTAAAAGAGAAACTTTCGTTTTTCTTTTTGGGCCACCCTGCCTTGGTGGGCCACCCTGCCTTGGTGGGATATGGCCGGTGTGTTGAAAGAAAGAAAGATTATTATTATTATATTATTGCATCTTTACATTTGTTTACATTTCTGTCAACTGTGAATGGAACACGTACAATTTGTAATTGTTTGTGTATGTAAGTTTTGATAAATTTTAACTTTTCATAATAGATTTGTGCGTGTTATATATTTTATGCATTCATGACATACCTAACTTTTTCTTAATTTTTTCGGTTGCAAATCTCCAAAAAAGGCTTCCAGGATATTTATTGAAAAATATTCACATATAAGTGGACCCTTACAGTTTAAACCTGTGTTGTTCAAGGGTCAACTGTACTGTACTTTTCTTTCACATACCATATGTTAAGTAAGAGCCTTATTTTTTTTTTTTTTATTTATTACAATTTGAGCACACATACAGAGGTACAAAAAAAAGCTTCTTCTATAAGATACTAATTTACAGAGAGTAGGAGAGGATTGTGTTAGTAAGTTGGTGTAACTACACTACACTAACATTTGTATGAAGTGAATGACTGATATCTATTTTCAGGTTAGCTGAAGATGAAAAGGGAAATGTGCTTACTTCTGCTGCTAATGATTTGCGAGATGTGGAACAGACACTGTTGAAACACATTGCAATGGAACTTAGAGATGAAGATCCCCACCAGTTTGTCAATGCTTACACCTCAGGTTTGAGAGCTACATCTCTGCTGCTTTTGATTATTTTGATGATGTTTTCCATCTTTTTTTTCAGGTTTAGATATACAAATTAGGGGAAAGCTATTTGTGTCAGTTTGTCTGACTTCACTTCTAATCTGGAATCATAACCTACTGCTGCAAAGTTGCATCTTGTTTCCTCTCACTGATACTTAATTCAGGAATTTTTGGTGGTGTTATGACTCCTGGAGTAATGCAAATACAGCAATACCTTGCATATTACAGTTTGAACAGTACAGGTTTTGATATGGTTTATAAACTTAATAATATAAATTTTATCTAACTGCATTGTGCACTGATATTGGCTGCTGTTAAGTATGTGCTGGAATGGCATGATGCCTACTTCAGTATTGATCCAGACTTCAAGTAGTGAAATTGTGTAGTCTTATACAGTACATGAGTATACACAATTTTTTTTTAACTATATAAAGTACTGGTACCCCTTTTATAAGCAAATATGAGTAGGTTGAGATGATTTAATCATTTCGAGAGGATGGAACAAAGTAGAATGACTTGGAGAGCATATAAATTTGTAGGGTAAGGAAGGCAGGGGAGGGGTCATCCTAGGAAAAGTTGGAGGGAGAGGGTAAAGGAGGTTTTGTGAGCGAGAAGCTTGAACCTCCAGCAAGAGTATGTAAGTGTTAGATAGGAGTGAATGCAGACGAATGGTTTTTGGGACCTGACGAGCTGTTGAGTGTGAGCAGGGTAATATTTTTTGAAGGGATTCAGGAAAACCAGTTAGCTGGACTTGAGTCCTGGAAATGGGAAGTACAATGCCTGCGCTTTAAAGGAGGGGTTTGGGATGTTAGCTGTTTGAAGTTATATCTAAACTGTAATAATGTTGGTAGGTGCAACTAATGTGACATTTTTTTGTGGTAACGTTTCACTCTCCAGGAGTTTTGTCAAGCTGTTACAAACAGTACATGGACACAGAGGGTATATATAGGCTCAGAGTGAGGTGCAATACTAGTGGTAGTAATAGTAGTAGTGATATAAGTTGTAGTAGTAGTAGTAATACAATATGGTAGAACAATTAAATCGCACATGAGTAAAAGGATATAAAAGCTATTACTTGGGTAACATAAAAATAGGTTAGACAAATATGGGCTGGATAGAGAAGGCCTGTTTCAGTGTTCATTCTCTGTAATGTGCTTTGTTTAGTATTAACAGGAGAGACTATGTGATGGCAGGGTTTACTGTTTTCAGGAGGATTCTTGCTAAGACTTCAGAGATGGTGAAGCTGCCTTTGTTTTGTTTAATTGTATTCAAAACAGCAATTAGCGTTGCTTCAAGGCACTTGCGTCTGCGGAAATTAGTTTCTTTGATCACTAATTAGATGTCCCTGAATTTCATGAAATGATTGGTGGAATTTCAGTGTTGTACACAGGCGTTGTTCAAGTTATCGTTCCTACATGCGTAAATGTGTTCATTGAGGCGGGTGTCGAGGTTTCTTGCTGTTTCACCTCCATAAATCTTGTCGCAGAGTCCACAGGGTATATTGTAAACCCCTGCATTAACTGGTTTGTGGTGCTTTGATTTAGTCCTGGTTAGATCCTTAATTGAAGTGCTGGAAGCGATAGCAACTCTTGTGTTAGCTTGTGAAAGTACTTTAGAAATGTTCAGTGCAGCCTGGCTGTTAAGAGTGGTGTTGGTGCGTGGAGAATTAATGATCTGAAGAGCTCTTTTCTTGCAGTCTTTGATGAAAAAGGAAGGATAATGTAACTCAGTGAAGGTTTGGTGAATGTATGTACATTCCTCATCAAGAAACTCAGGACTACAAATTTGGTATGCTCTTAGGAAAAACCTAATGATGATGGCTCTTTTGGTCTTAGTATCGACTGGAATAGAAGTGTGTGAGATCACTTTTATTGGTAGGTTTCCGATAAACTTGAAATCTTAGGTTGTTGTCTATTTTGTGAATGAGGACGTCGAGGAAAGGTAGCTTGTCATTGGACTCTTCTTCTAGTGTAAACTGGATCGCCGATTCAACTGCATTGAGCCTTGCCTGAAGATTCCGTACATCAAAACGTTTCAGAGTTATTATGAGGATGTCGTCCACATAATGTAACCAGGTGACACTTGAAGGGATGATTTTGGCGAAGTGTTCGGACTCTAGGTGTTCCATGTACAAGTTGGCTCCTGGAGAGCGAAATGTTGCCACAGTAAAATGTCACGTTAGTTGCACTTGTGTCTTTTTACTTTATATATCTAAACTGTTGTATCTCAGCGCCTTTGCAAAGACAGTGATTATGTATGAATGATGGTGAAAGTGTTGAATAATGATGAAAGTTTTTTCTTTCTTTTTAAGTCACCCTGCCTTGGTGGGAAACAGCTGATGTGTTAAAAAAAAATGAGTAGAAAGAGAAAATGCAATGATGCTGAGTATTCTAGTAAGCATAAATGGATAACATGAGATGAAACGCTAGAAATTACACAGCAACGTGAAAATGGTGCATCGTATTCTAAAATAGCACATGACAAGAAAATGAACAAAACATCAGTACATGCATATATAAGGAATAAAGAGTAAATAAAAAGATGTGGAATGGCTCCAGCATCTTGTACTGTGTCAAAAGTGAGTGTTAAAAATTGTAGTTCTGAAATGGATAATAACGAGTGACTTTTAATGTTATGGAGTGAATACTGCAACCAAAAAAAGTATTCTATTAAGTCAGAAGATGATTCAGGCTAAAACAGTAAGTTTTTATTCAACGATAAAAAAAGAAAATAGTGTTGAAGGGGAAAGTTTTTGGTAAATTGTGGCTGATTTTACAACTTTAACCCGTAAATGGTCCAATTGTACATATATGTTAGTACCGCTAGTGCCCCAAATGAAGATCAATGTTTTATTTTTCCTGCCTCCAAATTTGGCACGATTGGCCTGAGATGTCTGGTCAGCATAGAATAGGTGTTAACACTCATTGTGTGCAGTATTAAAAAAATATGGGACCACTTAGTACCCTGTTGGAGCACCAGTTCAATTGAGTACCAGCTAGAGCAAACAGCATGGCAAACACCTTTAAGAGGAAAGTGATGTTGACCCCAAGTTTAGTGGCTTTGAGGTGGATGTGGCCATAAGTGGTTGAGGAAATATCCAAAACCTTGAAAATAATGCATGTGAAACATTTGTGCAACACCCTTTCAGAATGTCTTATAACCTATGCCCTAAGTAAAGAGAAACAATTCTGGAACGTGTAATATGTGTTTAACAGGCAGGCTGGCTGGCTCTATCTCCGTCTGTTTGTCTGTATCTATGTCTATCTCTGTCTGTCTGTCTCTATCTCTGTCTCACAGGTACACATAAATACAATTATACATAGTGTAAATTATCTAGGATAACCAAAAAAATCCAGACAAAGTGCTATAATAAACTTGTAGATATAATGTGTAAGCATGACTGCAAATACATATTTACACTTGCTTAGGAACCAGACGTGATGACGCAGTCGTGTGCAATACCTATTGGTTCATGAGTGGCTCTCTCTGAGACAGAGAGAGAGAGAGACAAGCAGAGAGACAGACAGAAAGACAGATAAGCAGAGACAGAGATAAACAGAGAGCTAATCAGACAGAGAGCTAGATAGACAGATAGAGAGCTAGACAGACAGACAGGCAGATAGACAGACAGACATGTTTGTGTGTAACAGTGAAAACAAATAAAGGCAGGGCCATGGATGCTCATCAGATGTCACCACTGCACTGTCAGCAGTGGACTGACACTTGTCTTTCATCATGTTTCAAGGGAAATTATTATTATATACTCCTGCATATTCAAAACATTGCTGGGACCTATAAATACTTTGTATATATTCCTAGACAATTGTGAATGACCAAGGCAGGTGTAAATGTTCACCTGTCAGTGTGTTGGTAAGTAAGTAAGTAAGTAAATAAGTTTATTCAGGTATACACAAATACAGTTACATAGAATTATCATACATAGCAGCATATGTGTAGAGAACCTAGGATAACCCAAAAAAATCAGACAGAGTGACTTATTTCCATTGGGGTGACAATTTGAGTACATTTTCAGTACCTAATACTAGTGTCAGAACAAAGATTGGCTATGAAATCACAAGAACTACTACAAATTGTAATTTTCAGAACAGAAGAAAATATATAAAATAATATAAAAACGAGAGAAAAAAAGGTATATTGGCAACACTTCTGCAAGCGGCAGGACTCGATGTTGCCGTCATGTGAGCATCCAGTGCCAATTTCGCAGCCTCATATCTCGGTAAGTACTGACCCTAAATTTTTTTTTTCCTATTATCACTTAAAAAAATGCTCTCTTTATTTCTACAATTTTTTTTTTTTAAATATTCATGGTGCTGGGTGAGAAAACGTATATATACGTTTGGACCGTTATGGGTTAAAAAGTGTATGGGGCTCCATACTGTTTGAATTGCTGGTTAAGGTGCCAGTGCAGACAATGAGGCAGCTGCAAGATTTCCTTATGATCTAAAAAAATTGTTTGAAGAAAATGGCTACAAAAACAAAGATTTTTAAGTAGATGAAACAGGTTTGTTTTGGAAGAAGATGCTGTCATGCACTTATTTGATGGAAAAAGAATCATTACAACCAGGATATAAAGTCTCCAAAGACTGTTTAATGCTTTTATTAGTAGGTGAGAATACATCTGGTAACTTTAAATTAAAGCCTATGCTGGTGTACAGAGCAGAATATCCAAGGGCTCTTCAATCTTGTTCAGAAAATGCTCTTACCATTTTTTTTAACACACTGGCCATTTCCCACCGAGCCAGAGTGACCTGAAAAAGAAGAAACAAAAGTGTTTCTTCTTTTTACACTTAGTAATTTGTACTGCTAGCACCCCAAACTTAGATCTACGTTTTATTTTACATGCTTTCAAATGTAAAATAAAACGTAGATCTACATTCAGAGCGCTAGGCGAGTAAACATAGATTATGTTTGGACAATTGAAGGGTTAAAGATAGATTTACATGCACAAAAGAATG